ATTTATGTTCCTGAGTACCTAAATTTATCTTGAAAAGAATATTTATTGAAGTCACCATAGAAACAGAAATTTGGAAGTATTAGACTTATTCCAGTTGTTGCAATTACTATTTCCTCCACAGCAGGATCTGTTATATTACAAATAATGAACAGTTCAAGATCTGTTGCAATCTTATTCTAGATATTTTTGCTCTTTAATGAAAAGCCCCCAACTTTTGTGGCATGAAAAACTTCCCTTTCACATCCCTGCTTTAATTCACTGATCAAAAGGAGAAAAAACGCTTGAAATATTTACTTAGAAGTAAAGATATAAAAAAGAAGTTTGCACATGCTGTGCATAATTATTGGGCAGTATCCAGGAGCGTTTGTCAGATTTAAAAATGCTGTTTTATTTTCTGATTGATAAGCAAGGTCCATGATTGACTGTACACAGAACAAAGAATCTGCTCAGCCTGGTGGCCCAGTGGTCACTAAATTGTGTCATCAGTTGGCACAGCAGCTGCTTGCAAAGCCATTTTTAAAATGACCCCATTGCTGCCTTGCAAATACCATTTTTGTAGCTTGACTTCTTTAACCACAGCATCCCTCAGCTGACCCAGCCATGAGCTGAGCCCACGCTCTGGCCATGCCCAGGACATTCCCTCTGGTTTTCCAAGGGGATTACACACCCCACGTTCCTGCTGGATTGCCTCAGGCTGACCACAGCCGAGGCAATGAGCTCCATTCCAGAACTACTGATAAAGAAGTATCCTACAAATGCCAAACTCTGAAACAGCTGGTTCTCTGTGCTAAAAACCAACTTAAACCATGAAAGTACAAAGCAGTCTCTGCTCTCACCCTTCCTATGTGCAGCCTTTCACACCAGCTCCTCAGTGTAGTGGCTACTCAGTTTCCCTGTTTCCAGTATGGATGACACAAATGTCCTACCATGGAAGCTTCACCTTTTCCTCACTGGATGTATTTTCTGAAAGCCACAATGTAATCCTGTATGCACAGGTTATATTTATCACATCTGGCTTAGGCAGCGACAGAATTAATTAGGAAGTGTCTCAAATGTCAGATCATTAAATGAAATTGTAAAAAGGTAAATTGTAGTCTTCAGCAAGCAGAGATCTCAGAAAATGATCCTTGAAACAAATTGCAATCGTTGTAAAATATTAATTTCTTCTTTAAAACAGGGACAGTGTATATGGTTCCACATAAACACTATAACTTTCTAATTTGGTGTGAAGGTCAGTATAGAGGTCGTGATGAAGAATTTCTTTTAGTCTCTGAGGAACGACTAAACACTGAACAAATATTTAATTTGCATTTTACATTACTATTGAATAGACTTTGCTTCTTCAAAAAAATCCCTGTAGAGCTTATTTCAGTTCCTGTCAAAAATTTACAGGATTAAAATGGAAAAATACAAGATATACAACAGCTGACAAATTCTTCCTTTTTTACTATTTTAATAACAAAAAAGGTAATATAATAGTCAAAAATGGGAAAATGCAGCATATTTCCCTCTTTCTATCCTAACATGGAAAATTTTCTAGCCTGAAATCAATATTTAGACTCTGTAGTAGAAATACATTTTAAACAGAGAAACTCTTGTAATATAGTTTTAAAACCATGGAGGTGAGGTCTGTTATTTAATGCTCCCTTTGATTCTGGGGACTAACAGGACATTTCTGTATCAGGATACCAATTCTCACCCACACTGCAAGAGGTAGCAAATTAAGACAGAAAACAGCATGTGGGGGACAACACATTATTTCCCTCCTTTCTCCCTTTTCCCTCCCCAAGTCAATCTGTTTGGACTGTGTCAGCTGTGGTGTCAGAGCAGCGTGTTATGAAAAGGGATGCTTTGAAGGGGCAGCTTATTGCATTTAAACATAGCTCCTGTAAAGGAGGGGTCTGAAATATGGCAGGATTTATTAAAGGGTCTTGTTTCTTGTTAAGATTACCCCCATATCCACAGTTTCTGTGGGATCTATCTGCCTGGCCTCACTGTGTTGAAATCTGTGGCTCTTACACCTCCCACACCGATAACTGATAAAAGGGTCTTGAGATTGGCCACCTTCACAGGAACTCTTCCCTGGAATTTCAACTCTGTTGTATGGTTGCAGAGATGGTTTCTACCCTCTCTCCTCTGCAGAACAGTTTGGACAGCCTGTTCCTGAACTTAGTGAGTGCTTGGAAAGTGAAGCTGCTTAAGTGGAAGGCCTCCAATATTTTTTCCCTATAAAACATTTTTGACAGCAATGTTGCTGATCCCTCCTACAGTCCCAGAAGACTTTGGAAGAAGGAAGTTCTCAGCAGAAGAGTGAACACAGATACCTGTCTTGCTGTCCCTGTCTCCTCTGCACAGTGCTGGACAGGGGAGCTCTTTCCCATCTGTTTTCCCAGCCCTAAATTCAGTAAGCAAGAGGTGAGCATGCCTGGAGTACAGATGTGCCTCTGCACATTACTCCCTGGAACTGTGCTGGAGATAGCAAGGGACAAAAGCAGCCAGTGGTGACACTTGCAGATATGGAGCTGGATAATTTTGCAATTCAGGTTTCAACACTGCCCTTGTGACTCATCTTTGTTAAACTGTGTCAGCACATGGACCCGATGGAGCAAGTCCAGAGGAGGGTGATGAAGATGATCAGAGGGCTGGAGCACCTCTCCCATGGAGACATGCTGAGACAGCTGGGGTTGATCAGTCTGGAGAAAAGAAGGCTCCAGGGAGTCCTCAGAGCACCTTCCAGTTCCCAAAGGGGCTACAAGAGAGCTGGAGAGGGACTTCTGAACAAGGACATGAAGAGATAAAACAAGGGGGAACAGCTTCAGACTAAGAGAGCAGGTTAAAAAGAGGTAATAGGAAGAAATTCTTTACTGTGATGGTGGTGAGGCACTAGCACAACTTGCCCAGGAAAGTTGTGGATTCCCCATCTCTGGAAGTATTTGAGGCTGGGTTGTATGGGCCTCTGAACACCCTGGTCTGAGTGGAAGGCGGCCGAGCCCATGGCAAGGTGGTCAGAACTAGGTGGTCTTTAGGGTCCCCTCCAGCTCAAACCAGTCAATGCTCCTATGATATTTGTCCCCACAGACCCTTAGGGCAGCTTCACCCAAGCTATGATACCCCACGACCTGCTGTAACAGAGAAAGTGTTCCCACCTAAAACTTGGCAATTCTCCCTGCACCACCAGACTCACAGCACTCAACGAGACTGGCAGAACATGGCAGTCAAAATGTATGTGTCCATTAAGGAACCCAAATCAGTCTCTAATCCTCCACCACTTTTGCAGAATTGCTTTAATTCAATCTTCCTCGTGTTTTTACCTGGAGTCACACGGACTCCATGCATGCTCCTATTGAAAGTGCAAGCCTTGGTTATCTCTTAGGAGGGCACAGTGAATGTCATATGAGCGGGTTCTTGGATTTTTGGTCTTTGTGAACTGTTAAAGTTGCTTCTGGAGGACATAAATGCCTTTTCTGACTGTCTCCACTCCTCTGGCTTCATTCTTGATGCTGAGGATATTCAAGAAGTACAGTTCATGTTGCATGGGATGTAGAAAGCTTAATGCACAAATCACAGACCTTCTGTTTCATTCATAAAGAAATAATAGGAGATTTTGTTTTCTCTTAAATAAATATTTTGATTAAAAGGATGACCATGGACTTTTTTTAAAAGGAGACAGCAGTAATAATAAAAAGGTCTGTTTGCTCTTTGTTCCATGTTACACAATGATTTGCCTGAAAGAGATATTAATTATATTTGTATAAGAGCATTTTCCCCTCACTGGTTTTAGCCCTGTGTATTGCACTGATTAAGAGGAATTGATCTTTGCTGCCACACAGAAATGGGAAAACAAACATGAGCTCAGTGGTTGTATAAGATGTGCTCAAGGGCCATAATTTGAGCCAAGAGGAACACTTTGTGGCTCAGACCATGCAGACAAGTCTATCAAATGTACAACGTGTCATATACAGATTTCTGTTTAGTGGACCTTTCTGTCCCAGCCTCCACATTTATCACTGTCTCCCTGACAGGAGCTCTGCCCTGTTATCCTGACTTGTATGTCATTTATCAGTGTTAAGTACAACAAAAGAGTATCTCTTTAAACCCCCTTTACCCTTTCACATGCTTCTACCCTTGAATAATGATATCTATCTCTGCAGCCACAAATATTCCATTTCATCCTTTCCTTTGTATTGCGTTAGTTGCTCAAAAAATGATTAAAATGGCATTAGTGCACTTTAAAATGAAAATTATTATATTATTGTTGGAGTCACATGTAAGAGAAGAGATAAAAGCATTTGGGTGCTTTTGCCCTCTTTTTAGGCCTGTCAAGGCAAAAGAGTTTTGTATATATATGTATATACATAAAATCTCCATCCATAAAGTCAAAATTTGCAATGCCACTTCAGCCCAAATCACACAGCCCCAAGCCCAAATTCAGCCCCAAGCTGAATTTTCAGCTGTGGGTATAAATAGCTGTGTCCAAAGGAAACAATGTAAAATATGACATAAACACAGGCATTAAAATAACGTTAATGGTCTTTGAACATATCTTCTCATATGACTATTACATTTATTTTATTCAAGAACAAAGAGGAAAGAGGTGAAAATGGGCCACAGAAACCTTACAAAGGCTACACAAAAAGTGTAGCAACACTGAAAATAGTTGCTAGAAGAGATGTTTTCAAGAAGCATTTCATGGCCTTGCCTGTTGCCATGTTTTATAACAACAGACTGCCTTTATAGGAAGTTGGTAACATGCTGGGAATCATAAGCGTCACAGAATTTATGTTTAGCTACTGCCTTGCTAGACATTTTATAGAGATGTGTTAGCAACTCTCTATAACAGGTATGGTTCAGGCTCAGGTTATTAATTATAGCTTGCAGATTCAATTTATAATCAATAAAAAACCCAAATGAATTGTCAGTTTGAAACTTTGCTTCTCATTTTCTCATGTGTACATATCCATACATCATCCAGTTCTCACACCTCCTGCTCTATTTCCCAGACCTATTTCCCAGTTCTCTTTCTGAAAAGCAGAAAACACCTCATCCTTCACGTTTTCCCCAGCCTCCTCATGCTCCTGCACTGGTTGCATGTGTTCCCTGGCACTCCTCATCACTGGGCTGGATCCTTTCAGACACCACTTCCAGGATGCTGGGACCTGCAGTCTTGGGCACAGCAGTGAAGGAATATCTGCAGGGCGAGAGAGCACTGCATGGCACAGCTCCTGCAAAATGATGGCATGAAAGGATCCCTCACTACTCCAGATCTGGATCCTGAGACAGACATCATTTGTGCAACACGTGTCAAAGCTCTGTGACAGAGGGGTAAGTTGCTGTATGGTGAAAGCACCTGATGCTGAAGGAATGCCCAGGAAAGGATTATTGGATAAAAAACAGGGCACCTGCTCCTGAAGCTGGTACAACACCAGGAATACAAGGATACATGGAAATGGGGGAGAAATTTGGAAGGTAGGGTGTCTCCAGGAGCTCTTGATTCCTAGGTCTGATAGCTGAAAAGGCTCTTGGGGTGTCTAGAAGCTGGCGGCTTGTTGCTATTCCTGAGCAGATTTGTCTTTTGTATTTGTATCCTTGTGACCATTTGTTTTCAATGCAGTAATTAAGAGCTTGGCCATATATCCTACTAATTGCCTTCTTTTGTTTTGCCATTGAGTTTACTTGATCCCCTGCATACCTTGGTCTTAAATACACTTAGCTGAAAATCACTATGTTTCTACTGAGTTGAGGAGGCAGGTTCTGGTCCAGGTTTTCAGCTGAGGGCAGAAACCTTAACAGGCTTACAAAAAGGACCATATAGTGGTGTTTGCAGCACTTGTGTGCTGGCACGGCAGACTCTGGAGTCTGCTTTTGGTTGACAAGTTGCTATCACAAACTGGAGGTCTGGCAGCAAGCCTCTCGCAGAGGCTGCCAATTGGCACAATATGTTTTCCAACTTGGGCAGGCAAGTCCCAACCCCTGACTGTCCCAGGGGCATCTCTGGAGGGCAGTGAGGCAGTCTGAACCTCCTTTCTCTGGCTGCTCTGCAAAGGCACCACCAAAAGACCCATCCTGGTGTGACAATCCCAAGTGTGCAATGCTTCAGATGAGCTCCTCTCAGACTCAAAGCCACTGTGGCAGCAGTTTTCCCAAAATGGGATAAACTGTCCTGACAGCCACTTCCCAGTAGAATCAGTGCCCACTCCTTTCCCTTTCCCCCATCTCTGCTGTCTGCTACACACTCTTGTCTTTAACTATGTGGTAGGTATGTGGCTCTCTGAATCCCTCTGCAAATGGATGCAGCTCATTCACTCAGAAAACCCCATTTTTTGTTCCTTGGTTACCAAAAAATTGCAGGAGACTGGACTGACAGGCAGCAGAAGACCATGAGAATGGATTGAGGAGAACAGAAATGGTGCACAGGAGATAGTGGAAGCCATGTCTGAGTATTGGAAAAGGCACAAGACTCATTTCTGTTTTTAGGGCAGGAGTGAGCCAATAGACCAGCCCAGAAGATCATGACTCTTACCTTGATACAGCCTTAGCTCCCCTAGGAATTTCACTCCTGGTACAGCTGAAGGCAGCCTTCTCACAACTGCCCTGGAGCTGGTGGCTCACAGCTGCCACACAATCAGCTCATGACCCTTCAGTCATTTCCCAGAGTCATTGATAGGCTCCCATCTTATGGGAGCTATTTTTTGGGTGTTAGCTCTAAATGTATCAGTTAATATTTTGCACCTTGAATGAATTTTACACTGTTTCCATTATTTCAGTCCAAAGCCCAATGCAATCCCTCCTTGTACCCCATATCAGTTCTTCTCTGTTGGGAACACCTCCCAGTTTTGTGCCATCAACACACACCATCAAACACTCCTGGCATTTGTGCCAGCTCAGTGTTTGCATTTAGGATACATTTTCAACAAACCACATGGTACTTCACAGACTCTGATGGAGTATGGCTTAACCCCACGTTGTCACTTAGTGAAACCTTGGGTGTTAAACACCCTCCTAGCAAGATTGTTACAACTTCCACTGAAATCACAAGAGGTCTTGGCAGGGATGATAGTGTGTCAGGCGACTGTGCAGAACAAGCTTGGAAAGTTTGGGACCAGTAAGTCTAACTTGTGAAGAAAATAGTTTTAATATGCTAGTGGTTTTTTTTAGGGTAAATTTTGTAGCTTTTTATTGATCAATACAATGGAACCCCCACCCCTCCCCCCAACCCCGTGTTTAAACAAAATTACAGTGAATTGCTCAAAGGCAAAACAAAATTCTCTGCTCAGCTGTTTGGCTCACATTCATCTCCCTTTACTCCTATACAAGTGACATTTTAATTAACTGTGTCAGGTGGATGTGTAACATCTCTGCTGAAAAGCCTGTATCTGCTCAGATGTGTGTCATAGTTTCTATACCACCAAGATCTACTAGAGATCACAGTTTTGTGGCAGGAGTATCCAAATTCTGAACAAATACTTCCTAATACATAATCTGTCTAAGCTTTTCTTCTACTTGCACAAATGTATGGAAAGTAGTGATTTACATACACAATTTTTTCTAAAAGCAAGCACAAAAAAATTCTATAGCAGGATCAAAAATCAGTTCTTTGTGAGTAATAAACAGTTTTGCATGGGACTGGCTGGGTAAATGGTAGTGATTTTGTTCCTCGAGTGAGTGCTTTTAGCTATGAATACCTAAGTGTGCAAATGTAAACCGCTGCTTCTGCAAATATATGTGCAGCTCTGAGGTTCACTTTCTGTGAATGTTAATGGACACAGAATTCAATCACATGAATATTCAAAGAAAGTGAACACAAAAGCAGCACAAGGGTGGCTGAAGTGAACAGATGTAAAAACGTAAGCCCAGAATCATGGTTCCCCCCTCCCCACCAGTGCAAGTGCCTTTAACTTTGGAGCTTTACGGTATTGATCAGATTCTGAATTTTTCAGGTAAATATAATGCAGTACAAACCATGACACTCCACAGAGTCTTGTGAGGAACATATCAGTTGTGTCAAGAAGTCTGATTTAGATCTGAAGCCTTCCTAGTCAACTGTCAGCTTAGACCTACATGGGAACACTGGTGCAGGAAATACTTCTGCTGGGATGACAAGGATATGGTCAAAGAAGAGGATCACTAGCTTTATGAAAGTCCCTTGTCAAACAGGAGTGAGGGAAATGATGTTGTGAGATTCTGTGAAAGGGAAGGGATGAAGGTGAGCAACATTTTTATTATTTTACAAAATAACAATGTATGGTGGGGTTTAAATTGCAAGTGTGTGACTAACATCAGTGAACAGGAGGAAGAAACAAAGGAGGAACAGAAATCTATATATACACTTATACATGTACTTGAACATATATTCTCAATCTATCACCTTTAGACGTGCCCACTTAGCTGCAGCTGTGAGTGGGAACCTCTGAAAGAGTCACTGAAGCAGGAGTGGGCATACAAATAGAGTAAAACTCCAGGTGGCCGAAGTGCTGCATTTTGTTATTCAGGAACTTTCCTGATGCATTTTAATTTTACCCATAAAGAAATCACACAGACACAATCTACAGGAAAAGAACATTGCGGGCTACTAACAAAACCAGTTAAAACTAAAGAGAGACAATTCAGACCTTTGGAAAAGTGAGTGGCATTTTCCCAAGCACATCATGAACACACAGTCAGTGGGAGCTCACCACACATAAGTAATGTGAGTAAATGGCAACTCCTCTGGGGAAACTGAGGGGAAACTGAGGCACATGGGTCACTGACTGGAACTCTGATTCTGCAAAGCACTTAAATATATCCTTCAAACACAGGCCATCCTCACTGACATCAAATGCTGTTTTCCTGAACTCAGTAACTGTTTGTCTCAAATCCCTTCTCCTTAAAGAGGGATGATGTGATGGCTGTGCTTAGAATCATTCTGTGGTTAGAAGTATGCAGCAATTTAGTTTGGTGAGAAAAAAGCTACACATATGGCTGAAGGCCAGGAGAGGGTCAGAGACAGGCTTGAGACAGAAATATTGTTGAGAACATCAGGCACAACCATCACTGGGGTTTGATGGCAGTAGCAAGTGAGAAGAGCAAGAACTGAGACTGGAGGTGACAGATGAAATACAAAAGTATGTAGGAAGCCTCAGGAAGATGCACTATTGAATCTGTGTTGCTGTTTCAATGGAAATGCAATGTAATGTGCTTACTTACCAAGCAGAGTACACAGGAACCAGCCTGGAGCTTCCTAGACAGCCTTGTGCTGCATCAGCAGAAGTGAGGGATACTGTGGAAAGGCTCATCCCTCCTCATTCACTTTGGAAGATGGGCAAGACTTGGCAGGGCAGAAATCAGCACATTTCAGTGTATTTCATTTTAATCCTCTTCTTAAAAAGTAGGACAAACCTGTGCAGTGATTTGTGCAAGCCCTATGCTCAGAATCTTCATTTCTTTGTGACACTTCATTTCTGCCACAAAGCAACTTGTTTCTTTAATAGCTACAGAGGAATACAGATTATTTATTTAGCTAATTGGAAGGGTTTGGGTTATGTAGTCAATCTAGTAGGTCTTGAAGCCTGTTCTAGCAACTTAACAGTTGATGACAGACCCTCAATAATCAAATCTAAATTCATTTTTGAGGAAATTAAATACCACCTTTCATTATACTATCTTATTGGCACCATGTCAACTGCTATTTTACTGATATCCCTCCAGAAAAATGAGATCTGATAAAAATTTGCATTTCAGTTTACATTATTTATCAGAATTTTAGTTTAGACTTCATAAATGTCTCATAATGATAATAACTGCAATTCTCTGCACAGTTGCATGAAGACCTACCAAAGCTGTAGCACACAGCATCACTTATTCTCTGTGTGGTTCCAACACAGCAAAACTCTCTCTACTCCAGTCGGTGTCAGCACCTCCTGCCTCTTCTGGAAATGCCACCAAATGATTTGGAGATGGTATAAACATGACTGAAATCAATTTAATCAAAGGGACTGTGCACATTGATACATGGGGAGAGCCACTGTGGTAACTTATAGAAAATTGTGGGAAAGGCTGGTGCTGCCTGAGTGCTTTTCCTTTATTCTTCAATGAGACTATCTGGTGAAAAAGCAGAATTTGAGTAGGTTGCAACTCCCCTAACTGGAGTCATTTAGGAAGCAGACATATAGTCTACACCAGCCACGTGGGGTCCCTCTACATTCAGTGAAGAGGAGAGACACCTTCATCCCTCTTATTGTGGCCTCTCAGAGCTTATGCTGAGGGGCCACTGTGATTTTGGCAATCCTTCCTCAGGAAGACTTAATTTTCTTGGATGGGATTTGCCAAAAATGCTGCCTTAAAAG